TGGAGTTAGTACAATTATTCAATACAAGTTCAGTAAAGATTTTAATAATTCTACATCACAGGCGTGTGTTGAATCCACTGATCTCCAAGGTCCGCTGCCATTTCAGGCTTCACTTCGCCATGCATCCTCCACAGCAAGTCTCCAATATAGGAAGAAAATCTTGGCTGTTCTGACTTTGTAGTTTTTCACCCCATTGCTTGGGTTGTGGGCAGAATGTGCACCTTAATTTGAAGTTTTGCAGGATTTTTAGTGCCAAGTTGACGTAGCTTCGCCCCGCCTAAGATCCCTTTTGTGCACTGTGGCTTTGGACTTCTTTCCTTGATGGTCCTAAATTGTAACTAATTGATATCATAATTCATTATTAATTATGATATTAAAATTATTATTGATTAATGTGAGGGGCCTGAACAAGGTGCAAAAAAGATTATTATTCAAGGAAATCTTAGCTTATACATCAGACTTGTTTATGTGCAAGAGACCCATTTCAATGCAATGTGTGTTTCAAATACCATGACCAATTTCTTGTGTTTCAATATAAGAATAAATCTAGAGGGGTATCATGGTTATTAATAGAAATGTATCATGCTCTACAGATAAAGTTATAGACGATACTGAGGGACAATATTTGCTATGGGTGGGAAAAATTAATGTGTGCAAATTTTAGGTCAATGTCATTATTAATAATGATACCAAATTGTACGCTAAAGTATTAGCAAATAGATTGGCAACACCTATCCCCTGTATTATTAAAAACCACCAAGTTGGTTTTGTGTTCGAAAGAAACCAGACATTTCATTAATTTAATATATCAAATTAGAAAACTCTTTGGATACAGAGAAGGCATTTTATATGGCACACTGGAGATATTTAAAATAAATTCTGACCACAGTTGGTATCCCATCACCATTCATAGAAGTGGTATTTGTTGTCTCCATTGTTATTTGTTCTGGCAAAGGAGCCCCTGACTGAAATAATTAGATGGACCCCGGAAATAGAAGGCATCTAATTTGGTGATAAAGTCCATAAAATAGGCTTATTTGTGGATGACATCATACTTTCACTTAAAAATCTAAATTCATCTATTAAACCTCTGCATTCTATTCTGCAGCTGTTTGGTGACGTATCTTGCTATAAACTCAATTATCATAAGACACAGGCACTTCCATTCCATATTCTGTGGTTTGAGATGGACAAGATGCGGAAGGAGAAACCATTGGAATGGAGATGAATATTCAAACTTGTCCAAAAAAGGATCCAGGATGCATGCACAAAACTTAGAAAAGGCATTGCCTGACTTAAAAAAAAAAAGAAAGATGGAGAGATGGCATGGTCCTCTGATTTCGTAGTTGGGCAGACTGGCATCTATTAAGATGACTATTCTCCCCAAGATACTATATTATACTAGAACAATTTATCTGTCCACTTCATTGTTCATTGTCCATTGTCAGAAAATTTTAATCAAATACATGTGGAGAAATAAACCAAGTAGAGTGGAGTTAACAACCTTACAAAATCTTAAATTGATTGATGCTTTTAGGGTTCCAAAAATATTATCTTGCCACAGATTATGCCTAAGCTTTTAAGTTTAATTTAGACACCAATAGACTGAGATGGTTAGACATAGAGGTGGATAAGCTTCACCCTCATTTTATTAAAAAGCTATTGTGGTTGCTCTTAATTAACAATTCTAAGATATGTTTCCTACCACCAAGACTACCCTCTAGGCATGAGATATGTTTTTGAAGTTATTAGACCATACTCCAGTTTGTGAAGAGCAATGCCATTATCTATTTTAAATTATTATATGTCACAATTAGATTAAAAGTTTCGGTATGCTCCATCTATATATAATTTGGATGATATTTTTTTCTTAGGAAATTCCTTCATGTCATTTAATAAAGTAAAAGCAAAATGTAACTTAACTGATTCTATTCACTCAGAATTTAATTTCATATCTGAAAAATTGAAGGTGTGTTTAAATGTACTGATTTTGATTGGGGATATAATGCATTGGACATTTCTAATTTAATTTTGCTATTCTCATGTACTTGTAAACTCTTATAGGCTACATGCCTCATTCCCCTGATTACCTGCACTTGTCTGGTTAACCTTCTGTATGCCTGGAATCCTGGTTAACCCTTGTCTGCCTGTACCTGCCTTTGTTAATCCTTGTCTGCCTGTACCTATCGGGGCTAGCCCTTGCCTGCCTGTACTTGCCGTGGTTAACCATTGCCTACCTGTATATGCTGTGGATACGTCCTGTCTGCCTGATGCTGTCCTGGACCACCTGGTAGTCCTTTGCTTATATGTTTAACCAGCCAAATACTTTGTATTTTTGTTTTGTTGATCCTACTCGGAATACTTAATTAAGACTTTGCTTAGCTGATCTTGGCCTTGCATAAAATTTTTTTTTTTTTCCTGGGACTTTTCAGTTCCTGTTATTTGTTAAACCAATAAAGCCTTTAAGTTAAGTCATTTGCTTTGTCCTATTCTCTGCATACTGAGCCCATTCATACCAAACCTGTGACAGGTTTCCACTGGGCATATTCATTTTGTAGGTAAGTACCCCATCTAATGCTGCTCTACTATTTCCACATTTGATTCAGATAGCCTGGAAGTTCAATTCTTCTTCCAACATCTGATTGCACTGATACAGAAACACTGCTTGAAATGGATGAAGGTGCCATTGAGCCCCTCTTACTAGCCAGATGGTAGATGTGAATGTTCCTATTATACTCATCGTATGCCGCTGAACAGCTTGACTTTTAAAATTACTTTCACTTTCCTGTCTTCTGAAATATAAATATTGAGATGTTCATTATGCTTAAGAAGACTCTCAGAATATGTATTTAATAATTAAGAACAAGCTTACTTTTTTACAAAATTGACAATCCATGCAAAGCTCTAATGGAAGAACCTGTTCTTTCTGGTATAGCAAACTTTCTTGATCCGCTGATGAGGATATTGTCTAAGTAATGAAATATGCAACTACCCAGTGTTCTTATGTAGGCAATTAGAGAGAGAATAACCTTGGAGAAGGTTCTTGGGGCTGTAGTTAATCCAAAGGGTAAACCGCAAAACTGAAAATGATCTTTTAGGATGCTAACCTGTGAAAATGTTGATGTCTCTCCACAATAGGAATGTGGAAATAGGCCTCCCACAGGTCTATCGAGACAAGCCAGTCTCCTTAATAAATTGCCTGTGGGACAGACCTGAGAGATTCAATTCTGAACTTTTTTACATTCAACATTATGTTGATCATGCAGAATGCAGATTTCCAAAATTGGTCTCTATTTACCCGAGGACTTGGGAACAAGAAACAGCAGTGAATTCATTCCCATTTTCCTTTAATGGGAACCCTTTAATGGCTCCATCATTCGGGAGTTTTTGGCAGATCTTTTATCAATGCCATTCTTTTTAATGGTTCTGAAGGTATGCATGACTAAATAAAAATGTTGGCTCTTGGAAAATGGAACAATTCTAAATGGTATCCATTACTTTAATTTATTGGTTTCATCTTTCTGGCTTGCAGAAGGCGACCTTCTACTTGCAGTAAGACAAACAAATAAAAAATGTTAAAAGGGAGGGGGGAAGGGAGGCAAAAAAAATCGTTTGCAAAACGGCCGCTGCAGGGCCGGCCAGTCCTGGACGCCTGGAGGAGGGAGGTGCCGCGCGTAGCAGGCGCCCTGGTAGCAAGGCAGAGTAGGCACCTGCTTGTCCCAGACAGCAGGTGCCTACTCTGCATCAATATACCGGCCGCATGAGGAAGGAGGCAGGCGGCGGCGAGGGAGCACTGCCTCTGCTTATGATCTTCCTGCTCCCTCGCGCGCCTTTTCTGGTGATGCCGGAAGCCGGAATATGACGTAATTCCGGCCCCGCATCACTAAACTGTGCGAGGGTGCAGAGAGGAGCAGGAAGTCACTGGACCCCGGGGCAAGGACCCAGAAGACTCCTAAAGGTAGGAGCAACAAGGAATTTGTGTGTATGTGTCTGGAAGTGTGAGTGTGTGTGTCTGGAAGTGTGAGTGTGTATGTGTGTGTCTGGAAGTGAGTGTGTGTGTGTGTCTGGAAGTGTGAGTGTGAAAGTGTCTGAAAAGTAAGTGTGTCTGTCAGTAAGTGTGTGTGTGTGTCTGTCGGTGAGTGAGTGTTTGTCTGTCAGGGTTTGTGTGTGTGTTATTGAGAGTGAGTACCAGTGTGTCTGTCAGCAGAGCCAGCCTTTGAGGTGTGCAAGCTGAGTGTGTGGGTCTGGAAGTGTGAGTGTGTGTCTGAAAGTGTGTGTGTCTGTCGGTGAGTGTGTGTCTGCCTGTCAGTGTTTGTGTGTGTGTATTTGTGTGCATTTGACGTCACCAGGGGAGGAGCGTGGGCGGACCCTAAACCAGCACAGAGGGACATCGGTGCTTGTCTCAGGTATGTCACTGAAGGGGTTCTAACCCCTTCAGCAACATGGGATGGGGGGTGGGAGTGAGAGGGGACCTGCAGTGTCAGGAAAACAATCTGTTTTCCTGGCACTGGAGTGTCGCTTTAATTTAAATGATTCCCTAGTGGTCCACTGGTGCACACCAGCAGTAGGTGCCTCTCCCTCATGGTTCCGGTGCTCAGTTAGTGAGTCAGAGCACAGGCTCAGAGATTCTCAGCCTGCGCTCTAACAACATTAAAAGTCGGAGCCGCAAAGGAGTGGGTATGGCAAAGAGCTACTGATTAGCATAACATCAATATCCGTTATAAAACCAGGAAAAGGTGGGCATGGATGGTGAGCTGATTCGGGGGTGCAATGGGCCACTTGACTGGATTTGCCCCCCAGGCCTGAGGCTGCCAGCCCTCCCCTGAAGGGAGGATTACCTTGTCTGCATTATCCTAGGGGAAAAGCTGTGTTTCTTCCTCTCTGCTTATTTTCCAATGTGGCAAGACAATTTTTCCGGGCTGAGGAAATGTCTCTGATGCCTTAAAGCAATATGAAAAATGTGGGCAGCTACAAATGAAATAAAACATCATAAAATGTAGTTAAACTAAGACCGAGACCCCTCTGATCTTTGGGTTCTTTCTGCGGCCTCGGTCATCCATGGCGTCTACCTTGTGATTAGTGGTAGCTTTCAAGGACTGCAGTGCATGTACTTTCTTCTCCAAGGCGATGAGGCCCTGCTTGAGGCCCGCCACTTCCTCTTCTATGACTCGTACCCTCTCCGTGACTGCATGTACCTCTTCCTTTACCAGCGCTATGTCCGAATCAAACAGCGTGCGTATACAATCATATAGATCTGCTATGTCTTGTTTCGCGGAGGATATTGAGGCTAGCGCTTCTCTGGGTGCACTAGAGCCTGATGGAGTAGGTTTGGTAAGCCTTGCTTGGGGTGGACTGGCCTCTTTGTCTGACAGGTCCATTGAGGCCTCTTTGTCCACCCGTTCCGGGACTTCCGGGATCGGAGTGCCCGTTAATAATTTGCTGATGTCTCTCGCCATGGGGGTTGCTGTTACTGGAGTCTTTGGCCTCGTGCGCACCCATCTCTGGCGAGATATGCACCATGCCATTAGGAGGTGAGTATTGAACCCAGTCAGCAAGGCTGTCAGGATTCCCCCATGTTGTTTAGGAATTCCTCCATATTTGATTCTAGCCAGATCGACATCTTGCCTGCCCCATATACTTTTGATGTCATCAAGCTGCACCTGATCTAATCTTTATCAATCTCTCTCTGTCAATCTCCTGTGGGTGATATGCTCTCACTTCTTACTACATGGTTGCAGTTTCACTGCAGAACTCTGCTCATTTGAATTCCTGTGTACTGAATCTCTGGCATTGTTCCTGGCTATGCTCCATGCTACTCTGCCACTCAAGAAACAGACTTAACTTCAGATTCCTACATCTCTTCAGTTACTTCAAGAAACCATAAATCAATCTACACTGGAAGGACTTCAACTCCCATCATTCATTAAGGAAATATAAGTTCTCCAATGATTGTATTTACTGATTGGTTCTGGGAAGGATAAGGGTTATCCAAAGTCTGCATCTGAGATTCTACTTGCTATATCTATTTTCAAACTAATTTGCTTATTACTCAATGGTATTAATTATTGCTATTGGAGCCTACTAACTACAACCATTTCACATACCAGGTTAATTCATTCCCAATTTATTGCTTTATACTAAGAGACTGATACTTTGTACTACAGTAGTCACTTCCTTGGCAACCTTATTGAAGTCTTATGAACTACACTGCTTACTGCTAATTAAGCATTCCTTATTGGAGTCACTTGGACTATATTGTTTACTGCTGATTAAGCATTTCCTTTTTTTTATAATTGCTATATTCTTGTGTTGCAATTCTAAAACAAGATTACAAGTATTCATGCATTATTATTTCAAAACCTACTTGCTGCAAAAGACTGCCAAAGTTAATTTCCTTTTTTTAAATAAATTATATTTTCTAAAAGTGGTGGTATCAAATGTATTATTTCATCTGCAGTTGCGTTCCAAATTGTTTCCTGAGAGCATTACATAGGATCTCCGAATGCCCTGCAGAAACCACAGGTCGCTGGGCCTGTACGTACACCTTGTCTTGCGGGTCGATTTGGTGTGCGATTCCTAATAGAATGACATGTAGATGCCCCGTGAGTTGCCACACAGGCTCGGCTGCAACTTCTGGGAGTTGATTAAGCGTAATTTGGCCGATTATCACCACGTTCCTATTCTTACTCTTACAATATGATCCAGTGCGATATGCTACAAGCCGACTGCTTCAGTACTTTTGTTATGATTTTCACATCTTGCACTTATCCATTCACACAGAAAAATCATGACTCGCACACATAGACCTTGATTTTATATTTTTGCACAAGGCTTTAATATAACGTAATATTTTTTATATGTTAATATAAAGGTTATATAAGATATATATTTTTTTTAGATATGTTAATATTTTTAAAAAATATCTTTAAAAAGGTTTTTCCAAAATCGTTAAAATCATTTGAAAAACCTATCCAAAAATATGAATTTAGGGCTATAGTTGGAAAAGGGAAAAACTCATATTACGCAAACTCTATAAATTCAGTTTTTAACCCTGTCACCTATGCCAAAGGCCCTGCAATCTATAATTCTTCCACAGTCTTTTCCATTCCATCAACCAATATAATGTTACATGTTATGCTCCACTAACTTCATAACTTCTTCTGGAAATATCACTTTTCCTGTTTAATTGAACATGACAAGTTTGCTCATGCTTTCAAAGCCACTCGCTATCATCTAGCATTTGTTTTCTGTCTGAAATAGGTGTTAAAACGGTGATAATGGAATTGCATTTTTTTTTCATATAGGATAAAGTTTTTAGTACTGGAAACATTATCACCATTTAACAAGTTTATTTTATTATTGTTCATTGATTTAAACTTTTGTTGCAATTTGGAGGATTATCTAAATTCAGACTTTTTATTCAAGAGTAAAATAGATAAAAGAAGAGATAAGGGTGTGCCTAAAATAAATAGTAAAACATATACACACTATATGATAAAATAAGTAAAGTAAAAAATAATAGATAAAATAATAGTCCAAAGACACTTATCAAAAAGTCCGTAATGGTGAGCTATATTAAGAAGACAGGAGATCCTGAGACGTCAAATTGGAGTGGAATCTTCACAGTGATATACTTGAATCCAATGAGGAGTATATGGAAAGGAAACAGAAACAGGAACTCCAATGGTACAGTATGTCAGCAAATTAAAATTCTAATTTAACGAAAATAGCCGTACGCACACTCTCCAGAGCTAGATCCCAGCTCTGGTGTTCAGCACGTGAAGTGGAACAATCCCCACTCAAGGATATGTAGAGTAGTGTTTGATTGAAGAGTTTCTGGCCCAAATTCCGTGTTCGAGTGAATTCAACCCAAAATGAGAGAGTAGAAATATAGTGCTCTCTGTGTACAATAAAGCAAAGGAATGTAAAGTAAATTACTTACATTCTTTAGAGCAGATCTATACTGCTCGGTATGAACGCCTGGGTGGTATAATCCCCACCTATGGATTCTTTGGGTTCCTTGTGGATGTAGATCAGGTGCACAAATAAGGATAAAATTATAATGAATTATAAGTAGACAATATCAAAAGGCTTCATCAAGTAGATAATCATAAAAGAAAGGCACACCTGACATACAGAGGTTTATATAACATACAATAATGTTAAAAAAAAATTAAAATTCCCGCCAAAATGACGTCATCAGCACATTAATATTATAATAATGTCCAAAACAGTTATTGAAATATATATTAGGATAATAAAAGAATATATAAGATAAATGTAAGGAACTAATATAAAAACGAGCATTAATAATGTTAAAATAACATAAAAGAAAACGATCACGTGACCCGCGGCTCGATTTACTTCCGCGTCACGTGATGCTCAAATGGAACGCATGCGTTCCGTCTCTATGGAACGCATGCGTCATAATCACGTGACGCGCAGCTTAAATAACTTCCGCGTCACGTGATGGTAAAATAGGACGCATGCGTTCCAAACGGAACGCACACGTCAGAGGGTGGGAGGGCTGCCGAATGAGAGCAGGAGGAGGGAAGCCTCAGTCCCCTAAAAGCCTCCTAACCTGCTCTAATAACGCCCTCAGTCAAATACACATATGCAGAGCACACCTCAAAGCATGGTGTGCTCTGCATATATAAACAACAGTATCTGTATAATAAGTGGAAAACCAAAAGAGTACATACAATAGGCACAGACAAAACATCCTCAATGTGGGGATATAAAGGATGACAATAACAACAAGTATAAAATGGAGTAAAAAAACATATATAAGTACAAAATAAAATAATAAATGCAGCAGTTAAAAATAAAATAAAATGGGTATGTATAGGCACAAAATAAAATGGTATCAATATAATAAAAAATGAAATGATATCAATATAGTAAAAAATATTAAAAAATATATTAAAAAAAATATTAAAAAATATATAAAAAAAAATAAAAAATAAATAAATAAAATAAAATATACTACAAGCTGACAATAAAAACACAATCTAAGTTATTACAGAAAGTTAAAAAGATCTAAATCAATATTTAACCCTGTAGGGGCAAGGGTTTTTAGATTATAAGCCCATTCCATTTCTTTCTTACCTAGAACTTTTTTGATGTCACCCCCTCTCCAAGGAATATTACATGTGTCAATACCGATACATTTTAACAGTTTTGGATTCTTTCCATGTTTTAAGAAATGTTTTGAGACTGAACGATTTTCGTAACCTTTTAAAATATTTCTACAATGCTCAGCTAGTCTAGTTTTTAAATCCCTGGTGGTCATGCCCACATATTGGAGGCCACGAGGGCATTCCAAGAGGTAGATCACGTTCTTCGTATTACAATGAATGAAATGTCTTATTTGATAAGTTTTTTGAGTAATTGTTGATATAAATGTTGTAGTCTTAGATTTAATAACTTCACTAGTCCGTTTGCAGACTATACACCTGTTGCATTTAAAGAAGCCATTGGGTTTAGTTAAAAAAGTAGAGGGGCTAGGGGATAAGGTGCTCTGTTTAGTGTAATTGTTTGTAAGGATGGACTTGAAGCTGGGTGCCCCTCTGAATATAACTTGTGGATTCTCGGGGATAATTCCAGATAAAGTCTCATCCTGTTTTAGTATATGCCAATGTTTCTTTATAATCTTCTTCAAAACATTGCTTTTGTTGTTGAAGTCGAAAATAATTGGCAGTATTGGGGCAGTTTTGGTTTCTTTATTAGTCTTATATTCTAATAACTGTGATCTATTGGTTTCATCTATTTTGTACTTATGTTTTTTTACTCCATTTTATACTTGTTGTTATTGTCATCCTTTATATCCCCACATTGAGGATGTTTTGTCTGTGCCTATTGTATGTACTCTTTTGGTTTTCCACTTATTATACAGATACTGTTGTTTATATATGCAGAGCACACCATGCTTTGAGGTGTGCTCTGCATATGTGTATTTGACTGAGGGCGTTATTAGAGCAGGTTAGGAGGCTTTTAGGGGACTGAGGCTTCCCTCCTCCTGCTCTCATTCGGCAGCCCTCCCACCCTCTGACGTGTGCGTTCCGTTTGGAACGCATGCGTCCTATTTTACCATCACGTGACGCGGAAGTTATTTAAGCTGCGCGTCACGTGATTATGACGCATGCGTTCCATAGAGACGGAACGCATGCGTTCCATTTGAGCATCACGTGACGCGGAAGTAAATCGAGCCGCGGGTCACGTGATCGTTTTCTTTTATGTTATTTTAACATTATTAATGCTCGTTTTTATATTAGTTCCTTACATTTATCTTATATATTCTTTTATTATCCTAATATATATTTCAATAACTGTTTTGGACATTATTATAATATTAATGTGCTGATGACGTCATTTTGGCGGGAATTTTAAATTTTTTTAACATTATTGTATGTTATATAAACCTCTGTATGTCAGGTGTGCCTTTCTTTTATGATTA